TATCGATAGTATCGATGGCTTTCACTGACAATTGTTTTCGTCATCGATGGTTTTCACTATCGACTGTGAAAGAATTGATGGTAGTATAGCTTTGCATCCCTATTCCAAAGTATCCTCGTCTTTCTTCTGGAAGCCCTTGCTCGATAGAGTTGTCCCTCGATGTCCTTTCTGTTACACTTCCAACTTTTAAAACTTTTTGCTCTCCTCTTATAACTCTTCCGGTGTCCTTTTATAGCCTGGTCAGAGGCCCTGCTTCCCGCTGTAACGTGGCCCATTGTATTACATACTGGTCTGCCTTGTGAAGTGAGCACATGCATACATACATTTGTGTATGTGTATGCTTGTATGGGATGGCAAGCTAATTGTCTCTGGATTTAGTAGTTTGTAAATTTTGTGGGCCATTATGACTTAATTAGAAATTTTTGACAATAATGAGTAAAGCTTGAGTAAAATATGACATGTGTATTTCATATATTGCAAAGCATTTAATAAAGTTAGTAGTGTTTTACGATAATTTTTTCGGTTAAAAATGTGTATAAAATAATTTTAACCATATATAATTATTTACGTATATAAACACATTTATAAACATGATTAGCAATAATAATATATAAATGTACCTATGTACATATGTATGTATGTTCATACATAGTACATCTGTGTAAAGTGGTTATGACAGTCCGTAAGACCGACCAAATGCAAATGCTGGGCTTTAAAATTGTTACAAGCAGCAAGAGTAACGCACGCAGGTCACAAATGCTCATACATGTAGCAAGGGACTACAAGTGTGTGTGTACTTGTCCGTCGCGAAATCATATTGTTTATGCGTATGAACGCTTTCATACCCTTCCCACGAATAACCATCGAAACGCTTACATTTTGTTTGCATGAGCGTGACAAATGTTTTTATGATTTCGGTATACCCTTCAGTCAAGAGGAAAGAGCTGGGATCGTCGCGAACAATATTCAATTTTTGTGCGCTGCTGCTATTCGAGAGACCATAGAGAGTGACCATAAAGAGAGGGAGAGAGTGAGTAAGGGAAAAAGAGCGCATAGCCGTGCTTCATTTGATAATGTGTGCATTTCGTGGCAGCAGTCGCAGCACACTGATTTTGTCGTGCCTTAATTACACTGCCTGAGCCTCAGAAGACCGAGCCGACCAAATACGAAGTTGTCCGGTCTGTTCAGCGCATTTTTTCGGTGTTGAAAAAGTTTGTTCTACATGTCTAGTCTATGTGTTCTCTGGTCAGTGATATTATTTAATTGACAAGTACTCATTCATTCAGATCACCTTCAAATATTAATTAAACAAGTCAAGTCTAGTCGAGACTGCTCGACTACGAAATCCCCTGCACCCTTCGAAGAGTTGATATTTCAATAATCCTTCGCGTATTTTGACCTCTAGTATTTGAAATACGCCTTGTACAAATATGGCGGAAATTATATAAGGTATGGTCGAAATTATATAAAATACATTTAGGTTTTAGGACATATATTAAATGAACTAGTTTTCGATAAAGAGGTTTAATCGATAACAAAGAAGAAGAAGATATCGATTTTTCCATATGCGCGTGAAATACACGGATCTAGAGAAAACAAGTAAGAAAGCTATAGTCGAGACTGCCCGACTACGAGATCCCCTGAATCCTTCGAGCAACTGATATTTCAAAATTGCTTACTATGGGAAATTATTTGTTTAATAACTTTTCTTATGGATAGACTACCTTTAATGTTTTTAATCGATAACAAAATAACGGGGCAAGTTATCGATATTTAAAGCAAAACTCGATATTCGCTATACACGGACCTAGGAAAAGAATTTCAAGTCTCTAGCTCTTATATTTTCTGAGCTCGACGCGTTCAAACATACGGACGGATGGAGAGACGGATAGAGATAAATCGACTTTTTATTTTTTGAAGGGTAATTACGTCTATATTTTTTCATGTAATTTAAAAGAAAAAACTTGAGTTCAAAAATACACCTATCTTAAAATTATAGCAATGCCAAAAAAGTTTTAAAATTATAAATTATATTTGCAGTTATAAAGAGAAAATAAGTAAGAACGTTGCAGTCGGGCGTTACCGACCGCGGAATACTCATTCACATCCCATCAGCAATTTAGCAGCTAAGTTCAGTTCTAATCAGAGCTCGCAAATGAGAGTTGCTTCGCATCATAACCAAAAAAATTGTGCAGACACGACTCGCTCTGAGCGTCACTCTCTGTTTTCTTTAGAATCTGTTTCGCTCAGACGCAATGCAATGACTCATTCGTGTGACGCTCTCACATGAGTGTCGCGTAAAGACTAACACGATTTTCCCTCACACAAAGACTCTCAGCAAAAAACAGTTTGACTAAAAAACTCAACAGAAATGATCTTTGCCTTCGTGTGCATGTAAATACATGCATACATACATACATAAAAGAAAGCAACAATCGCGTGTAATTACTCATACAAACGCAACTGACAGTTTGCTTCATTTAACTCAAGCAAACGATCAGTGTTTGACTTGAGCGAAACGAAAACAGAAATATTTGTCTCGCTCAGAGCGCGAGCGAGCTAAGCCAGACGCGACAAAAACAGTTTCTGTCTGAGTTTTTTTGACTGTGTCAGTGAAAGACACTTATTTGCAGACAACGAAAAAGTGTTAACAGTTATTTGCAAGCTATGGTTCTAATACTGCAGAAAATTCTGTTTTTCCCGATTTGTCACGTCCCTACAGGGTCAGTAGGGTCAAATGATTTTTGGGTCATCGATAGAGGATTTGAAACTTCTAGCTATTATACTTTAGGGCGGATATATATCCGTCGAAGCTTTTTGGTTTTGGGTGGTCAGCCCGAGTATATATACAAAATTTGAGGGCTCTAGCATTAATAGTGTCAAAAATATAGCAGAATTTAAAAAGTCACTATATTTTCAGCTCTGATTTGCCATACCCCTAATGAGCGTAGACATAAATTTTTAGCTGACGTGCAAAATTTTAGCGCTCTAGCTGTAAAACTCTAGGAGATACTGTTTTATCCCGTTTGCCACGCCCCCAATGGGTGTAGATATATCCGCCATAGATCGTGATCTTGGGTGGTCGACGCGGATCTACATGCCAAATTTCGGCTTTCTAGCTCTTCAACTGGCATATCGTTTTCCGATTTGCGGATCGGGCGGATCGGGAAATTTCAATACCTTATAAATCGGAGATATACACGAGTGAGTATTCCGAATTTCAATTGTCTAACTTCAATAGCGCCGAAAAAAATTGCGTTAATACGGACAGACGGACGGACAAGACGGACATTGCACAAAACCAATATACTCATTTCACAAAAGATAAAAACAAGCCGAGTGTCCGGCGGAAAACTACCATAATAGACGATTCCATTCCCTGGAGTGATGAGATGAATATAAATTTTTTCGGGAATGAGTCAAACAGAAATGTTCGAGGACCAATTGGCAAAGAATTGGATCCAAAGACGGGTAAGCACGAAGGCATAGTTACTTAGGCTGCTTTTCATGGCAAGGTGTTTGTCCAATTCATTGAAATCACGACAACAATTACAGATTCCTTTATAAACAAATATTGAGCAGTGTTATGCTACCATATGACGACAACATGCCTCTAAAATGGAAATTCCAACAGGATACCGATCCTAAACATTGCTCCCGAGTGATTAAGGATTGGTTTCATGAAAATATAATTGAATAGTTATTGCGTACCAATGCAGTCTCCAGATCTCAATCCAATCGAGAACCTTTGGGGACACCTGAAAAGGGAAATTTCCAAAACTAGCTGCTCCAAGAAAACCCAATTACGGGAAAATAATCAGAAGGACTGGTATATCATTCCTGTGGAAATGTGTAGAAAGTTAACATCTTCTATGCCCTAAAGGATCAGCAAAGTCATTGCGAATAAGGCCGGACAGACCGGGTATTAAATACATTCATCTAAATATATTCTAAATATTCTACAATATTTCAGAAATTTTAATTTTTGTGCCAAAATTATGTTGAACATTATTATTTTGTTAACTTTTTTTTTATAATTTTAAGATATATCAATTTTTGAACACAATTTTTTTTTTTTTTTTTTTTTTTTTTTAAGTTACACGAGAGAAGGTAGACGTCATTACCTTAAAAAAAAAATTGTTCACATCTATTGATTTAGCCATGAGTTATATACTTTGTCTGATGTACCTAGGATAGTTATTTGGAACTGCTACTTATGTCCATCATTTAATAAATATCCGTTTTTAGTGAAATTTATTTTGCCCTGATATCCTATTTAAATTTTGCTTTTGAATGAAAAATAATTTAATAAATTACTTTTTTCTAATAATTTTTTTAATCTGTTAAGTTTTTTCATTATGATCGCGTCCACCATACCTGGAATAATCCTTTTTACAGAGTATAAGACCGCGTCTAGTAAAACAGCTAGAGCCAACGTCGGCTAACATAGCTCCACAGCAATGACATTTTAGGCAACTGTTGTGCCAATATCTGTCTAACGCATATAAAAGATATCTATCACTTATTTTGTCTATGAAAATACAAAAAGAAAAGAAACGAGTTAGTGTATAAAATATGAATTCACATTAAATTATTAATTATATAACTAACAAAATTTCATATGTGACTTCATAAATTTATTCAGAATATAATCATAATGTTGAAATGGCTCAAATGTTTCTAGTACTCGAAATACCGTTTAAACAAATTGAGACGAGGTATTCAATATATGTAAATTACAAAATCTGTGTATTCACAAAAGTATATTATTCTTATATTCTCAAAAAAAAAAAAAAAATTAAATAAATCGGAGGAGAAAAATATGAGAAGCTCGTACTGCGTACGATATACACGAGTATGCATGCAAAATTTTACGCTATATCCAATTATATCTTCTGAGATCTCGGCGTTCATGTAGATAGACGGACGGACGAAGAGGGCTATTTCGATTCAGCTCGTCGCCCTATTCAAGAATATACAATAATGATGAAAATAATAGGTACACTCCTAAAAATTTAACTTTATTGTGCTTGACTAAAATAATAGGTACACTTTACTTTGGTAAGTTGTATTCAAATTTTGGATTTTCAAATCTTAATCTTTTGTTATTTTATTTTTGGATTAATATCCTGTATATTCTCCTTAATTTTCTACAACTTTTTCTATCCGGTTAGGCATACTGCTAATCAAAGCGTGGCAGTTCTCATTCGCAATCTTCTGGGACACAGTCCCATAATTGGCGTTTATTGTCACACCTTTTCTTTGCCAATTTTCAATTCACTACACAAGTTTTTGAATGGATTCAGATCAGGAGAATGACTGGGCCAAGCGAGAGCGTCCATACCAAGTTTTTACTATTTTAGACAAGTGTTTCAGGCCGTTATCCTGTTGAAAAACCCAGCGCAGGGGCATGTTTTCCTCAGTATTTGTTAGCACTATATTTTCGAGAATACCCCTGTAGTCTGCTACTCTCATAATGTCAGATATTAGGAACATCAAACGATACAGAAGCAGCCCCACATCATAATGTTCCCACCGCCATGCTTCACTTTTTTTTTTTTTGTGTAGTGAGGATTAAATTCTTTACCTTTAGGGAGTCTGACATGTCTTGAATAGTCATTTCTATAAAGGCAAATTTTGGGTTCGTCGTTAAATAGGATAATATGCCACTTTTTTTGACGTTCAGATCTTTCCCAGGTGATGTGGTCTTTAGCAAAATTTTGCATCAATAAAAATACAATTCTTTTTTCATGTATCATATTGCCAGATTGCAGTTGTAGTCATCTCCCAAATCAATAAGCATTAATTATATTATCCATTACGGATAAAATGACCGTTGAAGACGAAAGGGTCGGATTTGGCACTTCTTTTAATGCGTTCTAATGTTGTTTTCGATGGACGTCTACGTGTTTTCTTTTATTGTGCCTTTAAAGCATTTTGCAAAAAATTAAGCGATATGTTCATCAGCTTCGCAAAGATTTGCCTTTCTCTCTACGGTTTTTAGCAATTCTCCGTTCCTCACTCGAACAATGAATATTTCGACCCATCGACATATGATAATAAGAATTGTTTTTCTACTTTTTTGTGTGAAGGATACTTACTATTTTATAACAATAAAAGCAACATTTCGTATTCTAAACGTTTTTTTCTGACTGTTGAAGTTCAGTGTACCTATTATATTAAGTAAGCTCTTTCGAGTTTTTTTTTTTTTTTTTTCAAAAATACCAAAAATTGTTAGTTATGAAGTCTTAGTTATATAGTCTCTAAAACTATTTTGGTGTACTTATTATTTTCATCATGAGTGTATATCTACTATGTGGAATCTGTGATGCCCCCTACTGCCTGTTACATACATTTTCACAAAAAGATTCTCTGATTTCCCATTTTCAATGTTTGCAGGGAATAAAAAATGCATTATATCAAAATTCAAGGTGACAAAAGTATTTTGACATATGATGAACAATTTAAATATTAGCTAAATTTTATGTTTCCACTTGACCGAATTAACTAATTTAAGTCTCCAACCAAATAAAAATAACATATGTAACCTAAAAAGAACAGAAAATATTAAAAATAGTATTATTTACAAGGCCAGCTATACCATTGAAACTATGAAAAACAGAAAGTTTTAAATGAAAACTTAAAATAAATATTAAAAGAGCTTAAATATAGTAGTTGTAATTACAATTATAATAATTCTTAAGAGACAAATTAGTAAAGAACAATTAAGAAAGCTCTAGCCCAGACTGCCTGACACAAGATCCTCTGAACCCTTCTAGGAAGAATTTAATAATTCTTGGCGACCTTCTGCTTACACAAGAAACACATACAAACACTCTCACAAATACACATAGGCAAGCACGCATATCCACGCATGGGCTGCAGTGAGGGCACTTCATGAAACTTTTAGATTGTGAATATATTGTTAAAATGCGTGCATTTGCCAAAGCTCAAGTCTCTAGTATTTGAAATACGCCTTTTACAAATAAATAACTGGTACTGAGGTAAGGGATAAATTATAACAGAAACTGAAATTCAATAAAATACATATACATTTAAAATTTTGGGACTCTAGCTCTAAAGGTGTAGGCGATACAATTAAATAACTTACTTTCGATAAGGTTTCTAATCGATACCAAAAAAATAACGGGATGAGTCATTGATTTTTGGAGATAAACTCGATATCCGCGCTATATACACAGACACTCCAAAAAAATTCAAGTCTCTAGCTCTTATATCTTCTGAAATTGACATTCATACATACGGACAGACGGACGGACAAACAGATAGGGCCAAATCGACACTGCTCGTCGCCCTGATCAAGAACATATATACTTTATGGGGTCTGCCACGCCTCCTTCTGCCTGTTACATACATTTTCACAAATCCTATACCCTGATTTCCTATTTTCAATGGGTTCAGTGTATAACAACTACGAGATCCCCTGAACCCTTCAAGCAATTGATATTTCAATAATTATTCGCGTCTTTCTACTTACACAAGGAACACACATACTCACAGACACATATAGGCACGCACGCATAAACACGCATGGGCTGCAGTGTAGGCTTACTATGGGAACTTAATTATTTAATAATTTTGCTTTTCGATGACCTTTCTTTATGAAACTTTTAGATTACGATTGTAGCATTAAAATGCGTGCATTTGCCAAAGTCTGTAGTATATCTAAGTACCTAAGAATTTACATATAAAATTTAGCGACTCTAGCTCTAAAGATGTTGGAGATATAATTTTATAACTGATTTTCGATAAGGATTTTATCGATAAAAATAACGGGATGATTTATCGATTTTTAGTGATAAACATGATATTCGCGCTATATAAATGGACATTTAAAAAAAATGAAGTCTCTAGCTCTATATCTCTTGAAATCGACGCGTTCATACATACGGACGGACAGGCAGACAGACAGGGCAATATAAACTCATCTCGTCGCCCTGATCAAGAATATATATAGTTTATGGGGTCTGCGATGATTCCTGCCTGTTACATACTTGTTTACTTGATTTCAGTTCAGAGTATAATTATTAAAGTTAACAATAAACAAAAACCAATATCTTGTGTGACCACCCTTTTGATTAACTACCATTTTTTTGGGGCTGATTCCACGAACTTTTTGGTTACTTCTAGAGTAATGGTATCTCATTCCTTAACCAATGCAGCTTTTATGACCGATTTGTTCAATATTTTGTGATTGCGAATGTTTATTTCCAAAATCGACCAAAAATTTTCGTTTACATTAAAATCAGGGCTGGCCTGGTGTTTTCATAACGTTCAGACATTTCCAGATCAGCCAAGTCTAGACTATTGTTGCAGTGTCTTTCAAGTCAATATCTTGGTGAATTCTGAAGTCCTCCTTTGTTCAGAGTTTCTGAGACTTTGAATTAAATTGGACTTCAAAATATCAAGATATTTGCCTTTATCCATTGTAGTCTCTATGAACTCCAAGTTCTCAACGCCTCCTGCTGATATACAGACCCAAACCATGTATTAGGCTTACGCCACACATATGAGGGCCCATCTAACCCAAACAAATTGAATGTGAACTCATCGCAAAATAAAACAGTGTTCTAGAATCAAATGTGCTTGTGCAAGTGCTCCTTAGCAAAGCTTAAGCGACACCTTTTCTTTTTGTCGCTTATAAAAGGCTTCTTGCGTGGTGCTCGGCCATTAAAGTTATGTGGCCGAAGCATACGGATAACAGTTTCTGGGTGACATGCCTTGCCCAACTCCTTCTTAACATCATTGGCCACTTGTCGAGCCGATAGCCTTGGGTTGTCACGGATTTTTCTCACAATATAGCGCTCGTCCATGGAATTAAAAATTTTGTTCGGAACATTTCTCCCCTTATCGTGGGTTCTATTTTCACGGACAAATCGGTATATGATGTTTTAAAATGTAGAACCACTAAATCCAACCATCAGCTATATTTCTACGGGAATGACAATTTTCAAAGTGTTTGAGAACAAGATCCCACTGCTCAATAGTTGTGCGTGGTCCCAAATTCACTTTCCTGCAAGTTGAGCTCTCAAAATTCAGCGCAAATTTATTTCATCATACTGTGAAAACAGCAAATAAAGTATTAACCAAGAATATAAAAGGATAAAGTTTTATCCGATTTGCAACGCCCCCAATGGGTGTAGATTTTAGGTGGACAACGGAAATCTACATTCCGAATTTCCGCTCTCTAGCTTTTCAAGTAAATTCTAGTATATCGAATAATGCAGTTTTCGATTTGCTACGCCCCTAGACTATACACATTTATTTATTAATATTTATACTCATCGGCATCGGTATTTGTAGCGATCAACTAAGGAATTTAAGGGGGCTATCCCCAGACGAATTTGTTACACGAACATGTTCGCCGAGTTTGTCTACTAACTATGCGAACATTTTCACAAACATGTTCGCGAGCATCATTTTAAAACAAATTTCAGACTGTGAACATGCCAGCGGAAGAAAACAAAATCGAGCTTAAGCTTAAAATAAAAGAAAGACCTGACTTTGCGCCTCATTTTATTTTTTCGAGTTCCCGCCTGTATGAAGCGTGCAGACAATTTACATTTGCTTTAACGGCATTAATTGTGTCGTTTTCTTCGACAACTTTATATTTTAATTATGATTTGTCCCATGATTTGTTGCGCAGTTTTATATTTTGATTGTTTTCGCTTTTATTTTGCCACAAAGTCGGCTCATTTTGAAAATAATCAAGAAATTATCGGTTCATTCTGGCCTATGTTGACTGTCCGAAATATTTCTAGGAATCATGTTCGTGCGAACACTCGAATCCATTGTCGAACATGCTCGCACGAACACCCGTAAGATAGAAACATTTCTATTTTCATCTGAACACAAACGAACACTCCTATCCACATTCGAATATTTCACGAACACAACATGTTCGTGTAACAAATTCGTCTGTGGATAGCCCCCTTTATATGCGTGTGCCACTTATTTATATAAATAAACTTAGATAGACATTCATATGACGGAAGGAAAATTCTTTATAAAACTTACACAAGTAAGGAAGCTCTAGTCGAGACTGATCGACTACGAGATCCCCTGAACCCTTCTAGAAAGAATTCAAAATTTCTTGTCGACTTTTTGCTTACACAAGTGTGTCACACACACATAAACTTTTGTTTGTTCAGCATTCGACCATCTCGGTCGCATGAAGTGAAATGATTGTGCTTTCGTATATTTTCGTAGCTCGAACTCAAAAATGAAGAGCCGAGCAAATACGAAGTTGTGTGGAACGCAATGCTCGGAAAAAAGTGGGCAAAAAGCTTTACGCTAATTGTCCGGACAATGTGATCTATGGTTAGTGATATAAATAACATTTTTATTTTTTAATAGGTAAAAATGTATTAGGAGTAGTTATCGATTTTTGGAGAAAAACTCGATAGCTCTCATATCTTCGGAGATCGACGCGTTCATACATACGGATGGGCGGACAGACAGACAGAGAAGGCGTAGCCTCACGCCTCCTTCTCCCTGTTAGATACCTTTAACAAAACCATCATATGTACCATGATTTGCCCATTGAAAATGAATAGCTGTCGATAATTTACCAATTTTAATCGATTATTCCTTGCTTTTTGTTTCTGACTAGAGACTTGAAAGTTCGTGCATGTTTTCAATGGCTTCAATTGAATAAAATATTTACTAGTTTTAATATATGATGGGTTAAAACTTACCTCCACAGCCTCCACATACTTTTATTAATGTGTTTGGATGTATTAACTGTTGGTTATTAAATTCATTCGAGGACTCATCCATAAACGACAATTGAGACGAAGAGATATTTGAATTACTTTCAGCAATATCCTTTGCGTTGCTGGTTCTATAGCCAACAACTACTGAAGGGAAATTTTCCGGACTAGAGGAATCTTGCTGATGCGCCGCCAGTATATCAGTATATGAATGGAACGATGCATTCATTGCAAAATTTTGCGATAGATATTATCTATAAAGGCATATAGGGGCTGTTTATTGCACGATGGACTCTGGAAAAATACAAACGTATATCGTGTATTTTATTATTAATAATACAATTAGTAAAAATATTTAGTTACTGCAAAAAGTATTTTTTTATATTAGTTTACAAAGTGTATAAAAGTAACACTCACTGGAGACCGAAGAATCAGAAAATACATTTCTAGGGCGTACTGGCAAAATAGATGTACAAGACAACCATTTATTCCTTATCAGTCCAGGAAATGCATATTTTCCAAGTACAGAGGAACCTGTTTACAAAGACGCTCAAAGGACCGACGATCTTACGTCCCTATACCCGGAGGACGCTTGAACCACAAGGAGCAAGAAATATATTTTTGTTTGTCAAAATAAAAAAATTTAAAAATGTATTTCAATAACATGGTATAGAAACATATGTGTGACGTTGCCATTGAAGTTTGTCTTATTCTCTCTCTGTCTTAGCAGCATTTGTGTTGCTGCTATGCACACAAGAGCGCCTTTTAACGCTTAACTGTTTTGTTATTTCGCTGTATTTTGTTTTTATTTTTTTGCGGTACGTCGTAATACCCGGTACATGACCGAAAAATATGAGGCTCTTTCATAAAAGTTTGTATGGGGAACAACCAACACATACAAGTGGGCATGGGCATCGGCATATAATTTTGGATCGATCTTTATTTATATCATAATAATAAGACCCCGTGAAAAATAGCAACTTTCTTGTTTTATAGCTGTAGACGATACAGCTACAACTCTCTAGCTCTTCAACCAATTCGATTAACTTCATACCGGAAAATTCATCATCGCTTTGCCACGCCCCCAACGGGCGGATCGGGAATATTTTGACACACTATACACACAATATTTTCACATTAATATTTATTAAATAAAGTGAGACAAAAAATTAACAATGGTGATAAAAAAATATTAATAATAATTAAACCCTCCTTTAACATCTGCAAGCGTCTAGGGATCAATCTACCCAAATTTTGTAATATTTATATTGAAACATCCTGGTAAACTCCTCAAACCTTAGCAATCCGTATCCTTGGGCGTTCTTGATAAGTCTAAACTACGTTTTACTTTTGCCTAAGGCCACACATTCTCTATAATATTGAGATCAAGGCTCTGAGGTGGCCATTTAATGTATTGACTGCAATATTCCCCGAAAATTAAGTTATATGGACCTGGTGGCACGGAAAATTGTCCTGCTGCTGGATACATGATTTTCCAATGAGCCGATGACCGGAATTGAGGGGTCATTCAGCACACGTAAGTAATTATCCTTAATTTTTCCAATAATTAATATCAAATTGGAGAGTCTATTGACACATGCGAACTCCCAGACCATTACCGAATCTTCACCATGTGACTCCCGTTCGTATATAGGTCTCTATTTTTACGAATATTCTTTGGCAACCTGCTATAAATCGCTTTTCTTTTATCCATGGTACTCAAAGCAACTATCGTCCATCCATAATACTTTTCCCCAGAATAATTGCGGCTTGCCTATGAAGGTTTTAGGAAATAACGTTGTTATTTTATTTTATAGTGATACTAGCTGACCCGGCAAACGTTGCTTTGCCTCCAGCGAACGCTTATATGCCATGGTGAATTCATCCCAGACAATAATTTTACATTGTTTCAGCACAATGGTCATGGATGATTTTTTTTTTTAATGTTACAAACTGCATATGGATTATTTTGAATGTTCAGTGGCAGCTTGAATGCCGAATGAGCTGTTCTGCCTCCATCTTATTAAGTAGCTGCAATGCCAGATGATGCAACGGCTAATGCGATGCCTTACTTTGCTCGTATCTCGGAAAAAAGTAACGAAATAAAGAATGTTTTGCCACCCATAAAGTGAAATTGTAAATATAAGGCTCGATTGGTATTGCACTACAAGAAAAAAAAACCCGAATTTTTGGCATAAATGCAATTTTTGTGTGTTGATTTTTAAACTTTTTTTAATTTTCCAATAATAAACACCTTAGCTAAAGTAACAAGTAAGAAGGCTCCAGTCGAGACTGCTCGACTAGGAGATACCCTGAACCCTCTAAGCTGATATTCTAATCATTCTGCACTTCTTTTATGCACACATACATACGCATGCATCCACACGCACGCATAAGCCTACGCTCTGCTAGCTGCGCAGTAAGCAGCGACTGCGCTTGGGCTGCACTGCAGTGTGGGCAATATTATGAGAATTTATTTGTTGAATATTTTCTTTTGTAGACACACAATCTTAATTAAACTTTCAGAGCATAATGTGTGTACATTCCAAAGCATAAGTCTCTAGTACTTGAAATGCGTTTTTTACAAATTGGGGGCGAAGAGGGCGTGGTATCCAAAATCTGTAAATTCCAAAATCTTTCTATCTATTAACTTTATATACAACGCAAATTTGAAGACTCCAGGTCTGAAAGTGTTCAAATTAGACTAAAAAAGTTATCGGATAAGTTATCGAAAAAATAAAGTAAGCTCGTACTGCGTATGGTATACACGAGTATGCATTTCAGCTCTCTAGCTCTTATAACTTCTGAGATCGACGCACTCATACGGACGGACGGACCAGCTCGTCGTGCTGATCAAGAATATATATACTTTTTCACAAAACCATTATAGCCTGATTTCCCATTTTCAATTGGTTCAGGGTATAAAAAGTATTTTTTTTTTTAATTTTTCTGAACTGTCCCTACTATTTAACGTAGGATTGAAGGTCACCGGACCTAGAATTACTCTGTATGCAAAAAAAAAAAAGCGCGGGAAAATTTGTGCAACTTTCAAGTTTAATGCTGCGGTAAATAAAAAGAAAACTTTAAACTTTAACAATTAAGAAAACTCTAGTCGAGAGTGCTCGACTAGATCCTACACAGAGCCAAACTAATAAAAATGCTCATTTAGTATGGCTAAAATTTCAATTTCGATGTATTTAAAAATATAAATGAAATACAAAACACATTTAATAAAATATGTATACAACAATATTTTGAAACAATTAAAAAAATTACCACCAGTTGCGCGCTCGGGACTTCTCGATCGAGCGCCAAGCCGCTACTCCCTATGTCACTTTAATTTTGAAAACTGCGCTGGCAAAACTCAAATAGAAATTAACTGTTGCGCCGCTCGGGTTTGGAACCCGCGACCTCTAGATCGAGCGCGACGCCGCTACTCACTACGCCACCTCACTTTTGGATGCTGCGCTGGCAAAACTTAAATAGATTCACTGCTGCAGAACTAAACCAAACTAACAGCTGATGTGATCCTAAGAATGATCTAGAAGTTTGAATGTATGTGAGCACACTTATACGAATATGTTGTAGCTGCTGCACGTGCGTTTGTTAATTGGCCAAACATTTTATTATTTATTAACGTCGATTGACTTACTGGAATTTAATAATATTTAATATTGTATTGAATATTTGACAAATTTAAACAAGTAAGAAAGCTCTAGTCGAGAGTGCCCGACTACGAGATCCCCTGAACCCTTCGAGCAATAGCTGTTTCAATCATTTTTCGCGTCTTTCTGCTTACACAAGACACACACACGCACACACACACGCACACACACACACACGCGCATACACAAACAGGCATATACACACACATAATACACATACGCACACACACAGAGATACGCACGCACGCATAAACACGCATTGGCTGCAGTGGTGGCTTACTAAGGGAACTTAATTGCTCAATAACTTTTCTTGTGGATGTAGTTTCTTCATGAAACTTTCAGATTATGATTATAACATGGATATGTATGTATTTGCCAAAGCACAAATCTCTAGTATTTGAAATACGCCTTTTACAAATGTGAGGGTGAGGGGGTGAATTAGGGGTGGGGGGTAAATTTTGACAAAAACCGAAATTGTATAAAATGCATATGAGTATACATAAAAAAATTGGAGACTCTAACTTTAAAGATATAGGAGATATACATTTAATACTGGTTTTCGATAAAGTTTTCAATCGATAACAAAAAACCGGGGTAATTTATCGATATTTAAAGCAAAACTCGATATGCGCGTGCTATACACGGACCTAGGAAAAAAAATTCAAGTCTCTAGCTCTTATATCTTCTGAGATCGACGCGTTCAAACATACGGACAGACGGACAGGGCTAAATCGACTCAGCTCGTCGCCCTGATCAAGAATATATATACTTTATGGGGTCTGCCACACCTCCTTCTGCCTGTTACATACATTTAACAAAACCATTATACCCTGATTTCCCATTTTCAATGGGTTCAGGATATAACAAGTAAGAAGACTCTAGTCGAGACTGCTCGACTAGGAGATACCCTGAACCCTCTAATCTGATATTCTAATCAGTCTGCACTTCTTTTCGACACACATACATACACACGCACGTATTAAAACGCGC